CCCAGCTAATTTTTTGTATTTTTGGTAGAGACGGGGTTTCACTATGTTGACCAGGATGGTCTCGATCTCTTGACCTCGTGATCCACCCGCCTTGGCCTCCCAAAGTGCTGGGATTACAGGCTTGAGCCACCGTGCCCGGCCACCTCTCATTTTCAATTGAGATATCTGAAAACCAGAGAGATCAACTCACTAAAGTCACTCCCAGAGCTAGGGGTAAACAGGAACTAGGATTAGCATCCCCCAATTCAGCATACTGGGAATAGTCACACAGTGAAAGCCAAGCAAAGTGGGGGCAGGTGGCAGGGGAGGGCGGATGCTGGCCCTGCGTCAGTCCTGTGGGTGTGTCCTGACTTAAGTCTAAACCAGGGTCTGTCACTCTGTAAGATGGGAAAGGGCTACTTCCCACAAGGAAGAAATGAGGACAGGGAAGCAAATGCACCTTAAAAATGTACTTAGAACACTGCATCCCCTCTACCTCCGTCAGCCCTGCGTGGAACTTGCCCCTCGGGGCAGACCTGAGGGCGGGGCTCCGATCAGGGAGCTACTCACACAGCGGACGTTTCCTGTGAAGTTCAGGATGAGCTGCTTCTCATTCGGTGTTTCAGGAGCCTCACACTTTATCTGGAAGAAGCCACTGGGATTAAGGTTTGGGCTAAAAGTCAGGGAATCTTTGACTCTTCCCTCCCACTAAGGCGTAACCCAGATAGGAAGGAGTTCATGGCAAGCTGGGGGCATGGCTGAAACCATTCCAGAGCCAAGTGTGTCCTGGCTGCATGGCCTGAGGGCAGCCTAAGCCAGGACCAGGCCAACCAGGGAGAGGGAGGAGGAAATGGGTAAATGCTGCTCACAGCCCCAGCCCGGGGCCCTGGGCTGCAGGAAAGAAAAGACTTGTCTTAAACCCCCTCCTCCGAGTCTGTGCTCTCCTACCTGCCCCACTCCTGCTGGAGTTACCCAGTTATTCCCATGAGCCGAGGTGAGAGAAGGTGTTTTGGGGACTTGGTGGGTAGTAGACCCTGCTGTGGGGTTGGAGCTTGTGGTCTCTGGGAGGGGAGACGTTCTCGATGCCATTGCTGGGCTCGTGGGCTGCACTGTCCCCTGGGAGAGGGGGGCTGTAGAGTTGGCTGGCATCTGGCTGGAGGTCTGTTGAGTTCTTTGCGAGGGAACTGATGACACTGTCATTGGGAAATGATGACAATGAGAGAAGATGAGCGCAGCCCTGCGAGAAGAGGACTTGCTCTCATAGTTTTCTCAGGTTCTTTGGTCTCACCTCCCAGAGATGGGAGACGTGAACTCCTATGACACTTTACAGGATGGGTCAGACTGGACAAGCCAGTGGAATTACCCGGCAAAGGAAGTCACAGCAGCTGCAGCAAACGTTCACTGAGCATTTACTTTGTGCAAGGGACTAAGTGCTTCAAAGGTACTTTCCTCCTAATTCCTCACAACAACCCTCTGGCGAAAGAACTGTCCTCATCCCCATTTCATAAACAAGGAAACTGGGGCTCCGAGGAGCTCAGTGATTTGCCCAAGTTCCCATGCCAACAAGCGGTAGGGCAGGGATTTGAATCCTGGATTATCCCAGCGGGAGCCCGCACTCCTCCTGTGTGGCACCCTCCTGCAAAGGGGCGGTCTGCTGACCAGTCTGCAGCAACGTCACCAGCAGCACTCAGAAATTCTGGGTCCACACATCTGAGATGGACCATGACCCCTGAGATGGGTCATGATCCTAAAGCTCATGATCCATAGGCAGATTCTGAAATTGATTTACTAGGTTAAGACCAGCTCTTTTGTTTTTGTTTTGTTTATTATTATTATTTTTTTTTTTTTTTTTTGGTAGAGACAGGTTTTCTCCATGTTGGTCAAGCTGAAGATCAGCTCTTATAAATAAATAAATAGGTATGGGCCAGGCGGGGTGGCTCACACCTGTAATCCCAGAACTTTGGGAGGCCAAGGTGGGTGGATCACAAGGTCGGGAGTTTGACAGTAGCCTGGCCAATGTGGTGAAACCCCGTCTCTGATAAAAATACAAAAATTAGCTGGGTGTGGTGGTGCACACCTGCAGTCTCAGCTACTCGGGAGGCTGAGGCAGGAGAATCACTTGAAGCCAGGAGGTGGAGGTTGCAGTGAGCTGAGATTGCACTACTGTACTCCAGCCTGGGTGACAGAGCAAAAATCTGTCTCAAAAATAATTAAGTAAATAGGTATAGAATAGAAACTATTAGAATGTATAGTGTATAGTAAGTAGTATTTATGAAACTTTGGTTTCAATAACATATATATTACACATGCATGTTTTGGATTGTGATGTAAAATGAAAATGTGTTTCTTATTGTGGGATGCCATGAAACAGGCTAAAGCAGCATGATTCTAGGACTTCCAATCCTCCTGATACCCACCACCATCACCACGCAGGGTCTCACCCACAAACAGACTGTTGGATTGTCTGCTTGCTAAACTGGGCAAGCAAGACAATGCAGTCTCATCAGAATCCACAGCCCCACATGCCTCTGCTCCTCCCTGAAATGGGAAGCTAAGTCTGAATGGATGAAACTTGGCCATATTGGCCAAGCTGGCCAGGCTGGTCCTGAACTCCTGACCTCAGGTGATCCACCTGCCTCAGCCTCCCAAAGTGCTGTGATTACACAATGTTTTACCCTTTGCATAGATCTCCATTTTCCAGTTGAGCAACTATATGAATTATAAGTACTGAAAAGTTTATTTTAATTTTTTGAGACAGAGTCTCGCTGTGTCACCCAAGATAGTGTGATCTCAGCTCACTGCAAACTCTATCTCCTGGGTTCAAGCAGTTCTCCTGCCTCAGCCTCCTGAGTAGCTGGGATTACAGGTGCCTGCCACCACACCTGGCTAATGTTGTATTTTTAGTAGAGATGGGGTTTCACCATGTTGGTCAGGCTGGCCAGGCTGGTCTCGAACTCCTGACCTCAGGTGATCCACCTGCCTCAGCCTCCCAAAGTGCTGTGATTAGTGGTGTGAGCCACCACACCCAGCCCTAAAGTTTCATTGTGCTTAAAGAAAACCAGGCATTACTTACGTAGTGTGGTGGTCATCCCAGGGCCTGTGAAGGTGTGGTCAGGGCCAGCCGCGGTGCTTGAACCGCTTGAAGCTGTCATAAGATGGTCCTGCCCTGAGCTTGTTGGGATGGCCACAGGATGCATCTGAGTGGGTTGGGGGGTGCTAACTGGATTTGTAGGGTGAAGGGTCGTCAGATGTTCTGCCCTAGTGGCTGTGACGTCTGTGGTCTCACTGTGGCTACTTTGGTCCCCAGATGTGGCTGGATCTTTTGCTCCATCCTGGCTGGTGGTGGCATCAGCTTGAGCTGTGGTCATGGAGGGTGCAAATGTAGTGCCAGCTGCATCTTTCATGCCGTTGGGATCGTCGCTGGTGGCAGTAGGGTTGCCTGAGTCTCCTTTTCCAGGCATGGTAATGGTCGCTTTGTCTTGCTGAACTGGGGCTGTAGTTCCTGAGTCATTGGACACATCAGGGGTGCTCGTCTTGACTGGGGCCTTGGAGGGGAGGCCTGTGCTCTGCTGGGCTGTAATTGTAGCCTCTGTGGTGACACTGGCTGCTGGAGCCTGGTCCTGCCCGCTGGTGGCTTCTGGTGCTGTTGGGGCTGTTCCACTGGGTGAGTCATTAGCAGGCGAATCTACTGTTTGCAAAGACAATACAGAATGGAGTTAGGGCTAGGCGGCTTTCTCACCATGCTTCTCCACAGCTCTTCCCCAGGATTCAGAGGTCTTGCTGAACGCCTGGGTCCTTGGTGACTCCAGATTTTTCTTTTTTTTTTTTTTTTTTGAGACGGAGTCTTGCTATGTCACAAGGCTGGACTATAGTGGCATGATCTCAGCTCACTGCAACCTCCACCTCCTGAGTTCAAGCGATTCTCCTGCCTCAGCCTCCCGAGTAGCTGGGACTACAGGTGCACGCCACCATGCCCAGCTAATTTTTGTCTTTTTAGTAGAGACAGGGTTTCACCATGTTGGCCAGGATGGTCTCGATCTCTTGACCTCATGATCTGCCTGCCTCAGCCTCCCAAAGTGCTGGGATCACAGGTGTGAGCCACCATGCCCGACCGACTCCAGATTTTTCTGAGGTTCAAGAAACCTCTAAGAGGGGAGCTTGGAGTGCAGCAGGGTTAGAAAAGCAAAATGCTGCCGAACGGGAGGCCCAGGCCAGTGAGGCCCCGCCACACATGGAGGCTGTCGTACGCTCCCTCCCTGCCCTCCCTGTCCAGCCCCACACACATCTCCCTCAAGTTTGACAATGTGCTACCCCTGCACTGGCTGCCAGGAACATCTCTATCTCCTCCTCTCCAGCTCCCAGGCACGTGGCCCCACAGAAAATTCCAGACTAATGCTCCCTGAAGTGCCCCGGCCCTGTGCTGAGCTTAAGCAAAAAACACATGGTCCCTGTTCTCACGGAAGTTAAATCTAGAAGAATAAACGGATGATAAACTGAAGTTACACAGAGCTGTGCCCCGACTGTGTGCAGCGTGGCGGCTTCGCCGTGCCAGGGACAAAGGGAAGGAAGGCTTTGTTTAACAAAATATTTCTTGAAGAAACAGGTGCTGTGTCAGGCAGTGGAGACACAATGGTGAACGCGACACAGACGGTCATACCTTCAAGAAGGTTACACTCAGTGAGGGAGACGGAGACGAAACAGGGTGGTTAAATCTGCTTACCACATGGAGGAAGCGAGGAAGGAAACGGCGCAGAGACGCACAGGAAGGAAGGCAAGGCGTCTCTGCGATGACTGTGAAGCTAAGCCCGGAGGATACCAACGAGAACCATATGTGGAGCATGGGAGGAAAAGTGTTCATGGCAGAAGGAAGAGAATCTGCAAAGCCCCCAAGTAGGGAAAGGAGCTGAAAGAGGATAAGCAGGAATGGAGTTTGGTGAGAAGGGGTCAAGCACAGGGCTGAGAAAATGCAGGGTCTTATAATTACAGTGACAGCAACTAAGCGTCCAAACCAGGCATTTTTGACAGTAAAAGGCTCTCTTAAAAATCACATCCACGGCCGGGCGCGGTGGCTCAAGCCTGTAATCCCAGCACTTTGGGAGGCCGAGGCGGGTGGATCACGAGGTCAAGAGATCGAGACCATCCTGGTCAACACGGTGAAACCCCGTCTCTACTAAAAACTACAAAAAATTAGCTGGGCATGGTGGCGCGTGCCTGTAATCCCAGCTACTCAGGAGGCTGAGGCAGGAGAATTGCCTGAACCCGGGCGGCGGAGGTTGCGGTGAGCCGAGATCGCGCCATTGCACTCCAGCCTGGGTAACAAGAGCGAAACTATTTTTCAAAAAAAAAAAAAATCACATCCAACAGGACGCAGTGGCTCACGCCTGTAATCCCAGCACTTTGGGAGGCCAAGGCGGGTGGATCACCAGAGGTCAGGTGTTCGAAACCAGTCTGGCCAACACAGTGAAACCCCGTCTCTACTAAAAATACAAAATTACCCGGGCATGGTGGTGCGTGCCTGTAATCCCAGCTACTTGGGAGGCTGAGGCAAGAGCACTGCTTGAACCTGGGAGGTGGAGAATGTACCACTCTGTACTCTAGCCTGGGTGACAGGTGAGACTCTGTCTCAAAAAAAAAACAAATTAAAAAAACCACATCCTGTTGGGCCAGGTACAGTGACTTATGTCTATAATCCCAGCAGTTCGAGACCAGCTTGGCCAATATGGAGAAACCCCGTCTATACTAAAAATACAAAAATAAAAATTAGCCAAGCTAGGTGGCGGAGGCCTGTAATCCCAGCTACTCGGGAGATTGAGGCAGGGGAGTCACTTGAACCTAGGAGGCAGAGGCCGCAGTGAGTCGAGAATGCACCACACTGCACTCTAGCCTGGGCAACAGGTGAGACTCCGTCTCAAAAAAATAAAAATAATAAAATCACATCCTACATAGAATGAGACATAAGATCACCTTCCTCAGAGGCCAACATGCAGATTCTGGATTTTATTCTAGCCGCAAAAAAGCCAGTGAAGGCGTTAAAGCAAGGAACTGGTATAGGATGACTTACAAAGAAACATGTTTCCGCTGCTCTGGGGAATGCGGACTGGAAAGAGGAACGTGTGGAAAAGGGAAGAGAAGTTAGGAGGCAATTACAGTAATCCAGACAGAGTGAACGGGGTTGGCCACAAGACGCTATTGACACTGGGGACAAAAGGCGGATAGGTCAAGACTGTTTTGGGGATCAACTGCTTGTTGATGTCCTAAGTGAGGGAAGAAGAGAATCCGAGATGATTCCTAGTCTTCTGTCTGGAGCAGAAGGGAGTGGTTGGAAGGGGGCTCGTGACTGCGTGCTGTTCTCTGTGCCAGCCAGCACCCAAACTATTTCTATTTGGGAGTTCCACACCCCAAATGAGACTTGATGGCAACAGAATTTGCCTCCTATGGCAATGCTCCTATGAAAATGTCAGCTCTTTCCCTGACCAGCCTCCCTGGGATGAGCACCAGCACGTGGCAGTGCCATCATGAATGAGAACTCTCATTCCAGCCAGTGAGGGAGGGGATGGCGGCCTGTGAGGGGCTCTGCAGGCAGGAGCAGTGACATCACGCACGGAGGTGAGGCCCAGCTCGCATCCCGAGACGCAGTGGCACCTAGCGCCTGGCAGGAGTGGGCCACGCTGGCCTCCTTGGATCAGTTCTACAGCCTGGCTTGGGTAATGTTCAAAGCAGCCCTGAATGCTGCCTCTGGCAATCCCAGCTACTCCATACGCTGGACGGTAGCCAGTATCTTTTACACACACATTTTGCTACTGAAAAGCAGAAATGTCTATCAGGAGCAGCTGCCAGCAAGACTTCAGGGATGAGTTGTCAGGCCTCACTGGGGACAAAGGGCAGTCAAAATTTTGCAAGTATTAAGGAACAGGACTCAAGTGTCCCATGACATCTTGAGGATAAGCAGTCACATTATCACCTCTAATCTAAAGTGAAGTGCCCAGGAAGTGGCTTTGGTCTGGCCGAGTGGCCACTGCCAGAGTATGAAAGGCACGCACATCAGATGTGTTTTAAAAAGCAATGCAGTGTGGGGGTTTGACAGGCCTTTGTTCTTAATAGTTTATAAAATAATCGTGCTTCTTACTACTGATGGCATCATAGTGTCATCTGGCAAGATACTAGACTGCTAAGGGAATATACCAGCATATCTAAGGAATTAAGGAATTTGTGGGATGATTGCTGCTTCTCTTTTTTTGAGACGGGGCCTCGCTCTGTTGCCCAGGCTGGAGTGCAGTGGCGCCATCTTGGCTCACTACAACCTCTGCCTCCCAGGTTCAAGCAATTCTCCTGCCTCAGCCTCCCGAGTAGCTGGGACTAGAGGTGCATGCCACCACACACAGCTAATTTTTATATTTTTAGTAGAGACTGGGTTTTATCATGTTGGCCAGGATGGTCTCCATCTCTTGACCTGGTGATCTGCCCGCCTCGGCCTCCCAAAGTGCTGGGATTACAGGTGTGAGCCACCACACCTGGCTTGCTTTTTTTTTTTTTTTTTTTTTTTGAGACAGGATCTTGCTCTGTTGCCCAGGCTGGAGTACAGTGTGCGATCAGGACTCACTGCAGCCTCTGCCTCCTGTGTTCAAGCAGTCCTCCCACCTCAGCCTCTGAAGTAGCTAGGACCACAAGCACGCACCACCACACCCAGCTAATTTTTGTATTATTTGTAGAGAAGAGATTTTGCTGTAATGCCCAGGCTGGTCTCAAACTCCTGGGCTCAAGTGATCTTCCAGGCTCGGCCTCCCAAAGTGCTGGGATTACAGGTGTGAGCCACGGCACACAGCCCTGGCTGGTTGTTTCTTACAGTGGTGAACAGCTTAAAACAGGATTTCTCAACTCTGAAACTACTGACATTTTGAACTGGATATCTCTTGCTATGGGAAGTTGTCCTATGCATTATACACAGAATGCTTAGCAACATTCCTGGCATCTCTCCATTAGATGCAAGTAATACACATACGCACGTCTCTTTCCCGTTGTAACCATGAAAAATGTCTCCAGATATTGCCAAATGTCTCCTGAGGGAGACAAAATCACTACCAGTGAAAACTACTGGTTTAAACAAGTTCAAATTCCTAAATCCTCCTAGGAACGCACAGACTGAAAACCAGAGACTTTCCAAGAACACATTCAACAAGTCTCTTTGTTTGCAGCTGAAGGGCTGAGATGGCCAGAAGACTTTAAAGCTTGATTCCATGAGCTGCTGAATTACAGTGTTAATTCATAACCTCACCAGGTCTCTTATGTGAAAACAGGACCTAGAGAATTTGGTTTGTTGTTGTTGTTGCTGTTGTTTTTGAGATGGAGTTTCACTCTTGTTGCCCAGGCTGGAGTGCAATGGTGCGATCGCGGCTCACTGCAACCTCCGCCTCTTCGGTTCAAGCAATTCTCCTGCCTCAGCCTCCCAAGTACCTGGGACGACAGGTGTGTACCACCACACTCAGTTAATTTTTGTATTTTTAATGGAGGTAGGATTTCATTATGTTGGCCAGGCTGGTCTTGAACTCCTGAACTCAGGTGATCTGCCCACTTCAGCCTCCCAAAGTGCTAGGATTACAAGCATGAGCCACCGCGCCCGGCCGTGTCTCTCTCCTAAGGATACCAGTCATTGGATTTAGAGCCCTCCCTAATTCGGTATGACTTCATCTTAACTTGATTACATCTGCAGAGACCCCATTTCTAAATAGGGCCACCTGCCCAGGTACCAGGTACCAGAGGTTA